GGTTTGTGACATTTTAATAAATAATTTATAAATGGTAATAAAAATAATAAAAATTCTCGATGGAAAAAACTCGTATACATTTTTTAATATAATATTTACATACATCACCATCTATCTATCTATCTATATAAATAAATGCATGAAAAATTAGATCACTTAGGAAATTCCAAAACTTCCTGCTTATATGCAGAACATACTGAGCATTCAATGCATATGTAAGCTAAAACAATACAAAATGAAAATTAAAAAAAAAAACAAAAGAGAAAAAACCAACTGAATCACGGTAAATCATGTACGGTGACAGGTCATGTTTGTGAATTACTTATCTTGGATGAAAGCGATTTAACAATCCTTAAATGGGTTTTATTGTCAACACCTGCTACACTCCGCTCTATCACCACCACCACCATCGCCACCATCACCACCGCAACCACTATCACCACGTATCGAATCTAAAGTGTAATTCAAAACTATAATTAGAAATATTCACAAGGCGATCATTTACAATTGTTTTAATTATGCATTTATTAAATAAAGCAAGCAATTAACCCAATAATGAAACTAAATGCAATATAAGTTTCATTTCTGTTTTTCCAAAATTTTGTAATCTCTTTTGTTTTTGCGAATAAACATTGCAAGGACATACAAAGCTAAATATCTCTGTCTTTATGTTGTATACAAGTTCAGATTACGGATGTCATGTCAACTTACGGATGGGGCTATTCTAGTGGTCCTTACAAGAAATTTATATTTCTTGCACCAAGCGATGATGTAGATAAGGTTAGATGTCTACGCGAGGTGTCCGAGATATCCGAACGAATGACAAGTTAAGCACATTATCAACCACTCATGAAATACTAAAAATTGCATCTCTTTACTATAAAGGTTTAGTTTTCGTAGGAACGGCTAAATGAGAGAGGGCTCAAATATATTCAACTTATTCATACTAATTTAGAATGTCCAAATACTATTGGAGAGCGAGCTTTGCTGAGAAATTTTGAAAATTGCATTTCGAAATTTCATCAAAAAATATCGCAAAATACAAATTTACATGGATCGACGTCGGACAGTCGGACGAACAAAATCATTTTCTGAATCGATCGATATAATAAAATGTAGGTCTACTTCAAGCCCTTCTGCGTGTTGCATACCCCCGCACGTATATATACGAAAGGAAAACTCGGAAAATATTCGCAATAAGTTAAAAATTCGAAAATAATTGAGAGAAAGACACTCACTCACTCATTATTGCTCTTCCTTTAATTTATATGTAACTCATACGCAACCGGCTCAGCCACCTTCACGTTAATGACTCAAACGACCAGAGTTTTGCTTTTACGAAACACTAAGCAATGCTTTTAAAAATGTGGTTAGTTCTAAATTCTCTTGACACCGTTGGCGATTATTCCTAGTGTTCGATTACGAATACCATCTTCTGATAGGAGTTATTACCTGAGAGAAAGGAAGATTTTGCTTTTAATTTAAAATATGCTTTTTTTCGCTTTACCTGCATGAGATGTGGTCCTTAGACTTTGTTGCAATAACTTTCATTTTCTGTTATTTTCTTATGCAGCTGCTTCTAATAGCCAGAAATTGTAGACTTCCCAAGCGTATAAGAGAATAAATTTGGATTTTATTTTGAAAAAAAAAAAAAAACAAATTTTCCAATCGGCTGATAGTCAACGGAATGGTTCCTAAACTCATTCAGACGACCTTGACCTTGGTGTTTCGTTACATGCGACAGGTTTCCGATGCGTGTTCCAGTTGTTACAAATGGAATGATTAACCTAAAACACAAACTACCCCTTAGCTGGTAGATATAAAAATTAATAAAACATAAATTAACTTTTTAGATAAATTAAAAAAATCAGATAACGACTTGTGGGAAAACCTGTGTGACTAAGCAAACTGTAAGTCTGCTTACAAGTAAGCAATAAATAGAAAAACGATTCGGATTTTGTTTAAAGTGCAAGTGTATTATAGCATTAAGGACGCTGCTTTAGAAATATGCATTAATTTTGCAATTTTACGATATACGCAAAGTTGTTTGACATATTCACCCAATTATTCTATATGCAAGATCTAAAAATATATCATTATGTAATCCACTCAGAAACCTAGTCGATACTGGAATTTGGAGAAACGTATATAAAGCTTCGAAATTCCTGATTTGTCATTTTACCTAAAGCGCGTTAGCTCGCGACGGTATAAATTAAAAGTTAAGCAGAAATGTCTAACTTTGTCACGGAAATCTCTAACTTTGTCTGGTTTTTTTGCTACTAATAATGTCGAGCCACTTTAAGATGATAACCTATGAACACAATGCTTGAATGCTCACACTTTTCGTCACAATCTTGCCTACAGTTTCTAAAAAGCCGTAGCTGACATATTAGCATAGCCAAGGTGCTCTAAAGAGCGGTCGAAAAGTTCCAAGAAAATTTGATCATTTTCGAAATAAAATCCACAGCAATGCATTAAGTAAGGAATGCTGACACAAGCAGTATTAGCCTATCAATTGAATTTTCGATTTACAGGGTGCTCTAGACGGCGGTCAAAAAATGCCAAAAAAAATTGATAGTTCTGGGAATGAAATCCACAGAAACGCATTAAATAAGCAAAAGTGAAACAAAATTCAATTTTTTTGAAAAAAATTTGATTGCGAAGAAGAACCAGCTGATTTTACACAAAAGGGTTAATATTTTTTAGGCAAACTCTACATACATTTAGTGCATACGTTTTCATAACTTCTACTACGTTCTAGCGTGAGTTAGTCACACACAATTACACGAAACTAAAAACATCTGTAGAATTTTGAAAATAACATAAATATGTCGATATAAATTCAGAAACACCATAATTCTGATCGATTTATTGCTATACCCGCCTTATAATTGAAAGATTATTTATATTCTGTTAGATATGTTTATCTCCTTGAGTTCCGAAAAGGAGTATATGACATGTGCAGTAGTAAAAAGTACCTACACTGAGTTTTAATGATCGTGAAATATAAAAATAGATAATTAAAAATATCACTCACTCCCACTAGTCATTTAGAAATTTCCCCCAATTTAAAAGTTCACCATTTTACTTCATTCTAGTGGGTAGCAAGTATTTCTCATACTATTTTCCCGCGCTTATTCATTTCGAATGCTTTAGAAAAAAACGAAAAAAAAAACAAAAATCGAAGAGAAAAAACGTTCAATACACGATCATGTAAATGATTGTAACTGTGAGTGAAGCATTGATTCGCTTTTGGGATTTTTGATTCGTACAAATATCAATTCTGTTTCTCAAATCTGTTGTAATGTAATCGTGACGTCATTGCAACGCGACAGAATCCCTAAGTACGATAAGTTTAATGATTTAGTAAATGACTACCCAACTGCTCTGTTAAGTGTTTGTGTTGAGTTTTTTTTTTTTTTTGGTTTTTTTTTCTCTCTCTCTCTTTTTTCTCTTCATATTTCATTATTTATATTCTATTTATTATTTTGTCGTCATTAATTTGAATCGTCGATATTATATTTGTGCAAGAGAAATTTTGTTGTTTTTTGTTTTCCTTTCGTTTATTGTATACTTTTTGTTTTTTTTTTAAACACAAATCGTTAGCCGTAGTAAAAAATTTGATAAAGCCTTAGCCATTATTTATTTCGAGTTTAGTTTACATTTCACCGGCTTAACGTGCATTTAATTACGCTTCTAGTTTAAGTTTTTTGAAACCAAAAAAAAAAAAATGTGTTAATTAAAATTAACTTAAAAAAAAACACAATATAAATAAATAAATTAACGGCAGCACTAAGTGATAACGTTAATCAATCTTTTTGTTTTAATATCAAAGTAATTCTACAAAAAAAAATTTTTAAATTATTTAATCCATTGGTATGTCTTTTATACGCTAAGGTCGCAAGATTTAAATTCATTCAACATTAAGTCCATTACTATTTTATGCCATCACGATTAGATGAAGACTTTCGTGTTGGTGATAAGAAAAACGTACGTACTTTTTTTTTGTCTTTGAAACAAATATGTTTGAAAAGGTTTTTGAGTCGAGGCATAATATCAGACCCATCGAATAGAAAATTATGAAATTTTTTTAAAGGCAGCTTTTCAGGGTGCTCATCAAAGGCAACATGTCCTGGCTGCCCCAGAAGCACGTATAGTGATATATCGACAATAACTACTCCTTGAAATATGGATTAGAAACACTGATGATCAGGGAACAGGAACATGAATGTGTTTTCAACTAAACCTTAAGCTACACTGGTAATCTTCTCTTATTCGATACGCTGATCGAAAGCTTATCAGCATTTTATTGATTAATACCGTTATAAGCTTTCGATGAGGCTCATACCACTTAAACAAAGTCCGACTGACAGAAAAATATCGACATTACTCTCCTGGTGAGTGTAGATACTACTACAAAAAAGTGGTGTTCTATCTGCAAGCCAAACAGACTACTTTTTCCATGGGCTAAAGGAACGGCTCGGTTTTCGATTGTAAGCATCATAAGTGAAAAGATGAACGCTTACCTCATATGAAGAACTCTATCCCGGTAAATAGATGTTGAAAATTTACCCCATGATAACGATTTGATATTCCACGCGTACGTCTGTACTTCCGTTGGTTTTTCTTCTGGTCCTTGCCGAATTTCTTCGTAAAATTTTATCATTATGGAACCATATTTACCATAATAATGTATTTTAAAAAATAGTTTTCTCATATCAGTACAAGTCAAATTTCTCTACAGCCTAATTTCGTATTACATATACTGTGTGTATGAGTATATCGTTAAAGAGATCGACACGGTGAATAGGTTAAGAGAGAAAATTATTTTCGTTGTAGATGAGGGGTGTGATAGGTTAATGCCTAATTTATGTCGACGACTTTTCGATGCTTAATCTCTTTTTCAACTTTCCTTAACAAAAATAAAACTAATACTGACTACGGTAAAAGAACCATACATTTTTCTACAACAACCATTTCTTTTTTGTTTTTATTTACAGATGTCTCAGACAAGCTGCTTAACATTACCTGTTGCATCGATACCAAAAGTTCCCTTTAAATTCGAACCGAACAACTTTGATGGTCTAATCAACACAACAACTAACGACTCTTATTCGACCTTTACGGACACCTTTGATCTATCTCTACTACCTCAGGAAAATAACAAAGATTCGAGTAATTCGCAATTCGTTGATATACCGACCACAGTGTACGACTTTAAGGAGAGCTGCATTCCAGTGACTCAAGCTGATATCAAATTGGAACAAGAGTGGTCGCCTTCCACCGTCTTGGATGGAATAAATCACGAAAAAAATTATAGAAATTATTTTCCAACGAATATTGAACAAAAGCAAATCGCATTATCGAAACTAAAATTACAATTACCACCTCTGCCATCACTGTCAGGAGCAGCCTACCCATCACCTCAATCAAGTCCCGCGCAAACTGAATATAATTCTCCTCATTATACTTCTAACATCACAGGCCATTACGACTCTGCAAATTTACCGAATAGTTCGCAGCTTACTGTCACCAATTCTCCGTATCGCTTAGTTGATCCGTCAACTGTTAAACAAGATCAATTACATATACTGCCACCATCGCCTCCAGAGTCAAATTGCTGTGGAACACCGTCACCCCAATCGTATGCACATAATAATGTAATCAAATCGGAACCATTCGATTCGGACGTTGAAACATTTATCGATTTGAATTCTATGTTGCAAGAACAAACCAATCCGACCAACAACGACGAAAATAATAATAATAACAATAACAATAATAATAATAATAGCTGCGTGTCATCTATTCAGCATCCACAGCAACAAGATTATCAATTATTACGCGAGTATCTAGAAGATACGACATTTCAGAAGAAGCATAATTTAAAACCATTGGCTCTGGATTCTTTGACAACTTGCCTAGAAGAAGTTCGAGGTGATATTGAGGGTGTTATCTCTTTAGCCCTAGAACATGTTAAATGCGAAGCAGAAGCTACATGCGCCCGTTTACAAATATCTCAAGGTATGCAATTAATAGCAAAATTTAAAAGAAAATCAAAAAAAAGACCCTTATACTCAAATTGGCATATATGCAACAATTATCATAACAAGTTAGATAAGATTTTAATTCTGAATGAATATCTTAGTTCGAGATTTAAATGAATGATTCACTCTTACAGAAATCTTATTGACCCCAGCGCTCATACGATTCATTATAGTAGTTGTGGGGTATTAGTTAATAGGTTAATATTGCTGACGCATACGAGTTTGCATTAAAGCAATTATAAACTGGTATTGATTGTGCTACCTGAGGTGTAATAAAATTTTTATATTTTTCTTTTTTCTACAATAATCTGCAAATAAGTTGTGTTGAATTTTAAATACAATTGATTAACAACTATTTAATGGATAACTAAACGCTATTTTAAACGAAAAACAAGAGAAGAACAAGAGGGAGAAAAGAAGGTATGCTCGGCCACGATTTGCCATTTGAGTACCCTACATCACTTTGCTTAGCGCAGATGTTCATGTAACTGTTTTTCAAATTAAGGCCTAACATGAGGACAAGTAATCGAAAAAATGGCATTTCAATTGCATTCCTTCTTGAGTCAAACCATTTAGGTTTAATAACAAAATGAAAATATCTGAAAAAGGCGCGATCTGTAGGATGAATACAAGAAAGCAGGTAAGACAGATGGACAGATAAGCTTAGGTCGATGCAAAAAATGATTCTGAATCGATCGGTGTAATAAAAGGGGAATCTATCTCAAGTCCCTCTAGATATTACAAAGTGTACCGCAAGTGCTATAGGATGTAAAAAGATAGTAAGCAGGTAACTTGTGGACGGAAATATTTAAGAGTGAAAAGATATTGAAAGTTTCTCCTGCCGAGCTGGCTTCAGATTGCACATCTCTCGGTATGTAAAACAACAGTTATTGACTTGACAAAAGCCAATGCTTTCTAAGCGATGCCCCTAAAGTGTTTTACGAGCGAATACCTCACTTAATGCGGTGAAGATAGTCTCGTACCGCTAGCTCAGCTTTCCATTAACCCAGGCTAGTTATTAAACATCGCACATAATGTAATAGTTGTAGTGCGAAAGGTAGGGTTTAACGCACTTTTTTTACTTTCCATAATGTATCCGTTTTCTTTTTCTTGCAGATCCTTGCGCTTGGTCACCTTCCCAAGTGCACTCTTGGTTACAAGCCACTATTCAACAATTTCGTTTACCGTCCATAAACAATTTGGAATCTAATTTTAACGAAGATGGTACGGCATTATTGATGCTCAGCGAAGAAGAATTCATAAAGCGAGTGCCCGAGGTAAGAATTTTTCGTACAATTTTTTTTTATATAGAAACTAATTTCATTACTAGTTAATGAAATTCAAACGATTAAAAATTAATTACGCGTAGGGTAAACATATGTGCCATAAACACATAGCCTCATCATCATGACATATATATATTCCAACTATATGCGAGCATAAAAAGGAATCCTTTATTGCTATTACGAAGTGAACTTTTGAGTTTGTGAAAGAAAAAAATGAAAAACACAAAAAGACAGTAAATAATCAAACTCAAAGAAAAAATCTGAACAAGTTATGAAATCGAGTTGACGTCATTGAAATATTATGAGAGTTTAGTGCTTTTATTTCTTTACAAATAGTTCATCAAGTATCAACCAAAAAAAAAACGAAAAACTTAAAAAATGTAATTTACAAAAAAAGCACAGCAACAATAAAAAATCCAAGTAAGAAAAAACGAAGAAAAAAAAAAAATTATATTCAGTTCATAACGAATTTTGTGATATCTATTACGTGCTCGCTTAGACTATTGATAAGTAAACTAAATGAAAGGAAATCAACAGTTTAAGCTTAAACCCTCTCCTACTCGCTGCAGGTAAATATGAGCTAGCATGAGCGAATACATAGAATAAACATGCTCACGGGGAAATGTACAATCATATGTCAACTGCAAACTTCAAGTCAATCATACAGAGTAGAGGTAACAAAGTAGTTTTGACCTTGCGAACGTATTGATATAATGAAAAATGATTATTGCGCAACAGCAGGCGTAGCGCACCACGCGAACAGCGTACGTAATAACACAATGAAACGGTTATCGTGCAAAAAACGTTAGCATCCAGAAGTTCAAAATGTTTGGATTTTATTTTGACATGAGCGCGGAATCTATGGACGCCGACTTGGGTGCTTTTTTCAGCTCAGTCCAACAAAAGTAAAGCCCAGAATAATTTGAAATTTTTTTGTCCGAATTCAAGTCTTAAATATATATTTAATCGCGTAATTTTACGCTCTGCTCTTGGCTTATCGAATATGCTCATGTCAATTGTACGAAAGAGTGAGTGGAAGACCTTAGACATTTCATAGTGCAATTATTCTTTGCACATTCAAATTTTCAATTAAGAAACTAATCCGTGCTACTATCGATTCATTTGCGTACAATTTTAACGCATTACACGGCATAAATGAGATAAGTATGATATGAATATGAATTCATTCCCAATGGCCTGAGTTAGACATCCTTCATTCTTTAATTTTTAATTCGTTTCTGTAAGAGTAGGTAAATATGAAAATAGAACTCGACATCGATTTTATGGATGACAAAAATACTCTGCTTACAGTTTATAATAATTGATAGGTAAAAACTGCGATTTCTTTTTATGTCGCTTAGGTAGGTGTCATGTAAGCAGGGATGATCTGGAAAAATTAGTTAGTTGCAAATTCATGGGTCAATAATCATTCCTACCTGATCTTATCCTAAACCTATATTCTATTTATGTTAAAAACGTAATGAACTACACTTCGAAGGTGAAGAAAATCTCTACTGGATGCAAAAATATCATAGCTTTGTTTAGAACTCAATATACCATCAAATAGTAAAGAGAAGAGATCTCAATAGAAATGTTGGAAAACTCTCAAAGAAAGAGAGCAAAATGGAGAAAAATAAACAAAGCTTTTTTCATAGTTTGTGAGAGTATGAGAATAGAGAGAGTTTTAGTTGAGCCCATATTTTTTCTGAATTAATTGTAAAACAATTATAGGTAAACAAAAGACTTAAGTAACAAGCTTATTGTTCAGCTCTCTTTCTCTCTCTCTCTCTCTCTCTCTCTCTCTCTCTCTCTCTGTGTCACTCTCTCATTCTTTTACTCTCTTACTTGGTTGATTTAGCCATCAAAAGCAAACTGGTAGTAAATATTTAAGCTTTAACAACGTAACCAGTAGTCGTAAAAGGTATTAAAAAAAAAAAAATAAAAATAATAATAATAATAAAAGCCAAAAAACCAAAAAACGCAGTCACTAATGCAAAACAGAAAATTATTTTTAGTAACCGTGGTCATGGCTTGAAGGTGAAAGAAAGAATGTGTGAAGGTTGTTTGGTGAAACCAAACCGTCTCTCATACATGCATACAAACACGTGTAGTACTGTAATGCTGTAGTGTAGTAAGTAAATAACAGATGGTGAGCATAATAAAGCAGAATTTTCTTTGATGTTCTTCTTTGACAATGTGCATGTATAATGCAACATATATATACAAAGTAACATTTTTTGCTTAGCTTGTCGTTTAGTTTTGTTCAAAAAGAAATCTAAATGTTCCTCTTAGTGTTTCGTCTATTATTTAAACACATAAGCAGTGCTGTTGATGTTGCTAAATTAAGCCGACAATTACCATCAGCAACACTGCAAGGTGAAAGTGAGTCGGCGACATCATTATCATCACCAGCAGTAGCAGGACCATTGCAGATAACATCATAATGTTATTTGTATTTTTATATATATATTTTTTTTTCTCTTAGTTTAGATAATATTATAAAAATGCTATGAATGAGTTCAAGGAAACCTTCTCTGGCAATTTATTTGCTGGAGGTCTATGGCGCTGCTTATGTGTGCGTGTAGTCCTAATAAAACAATTTGAATAATTAACAACCTAGGGGGGCTTATTTGAATTAAATAAAAAAAATTCTTTTCTTTCTAACGAAGACTTGTCTCTGACATATCTACCGTTAAGTCCATGGAAAAATTTTAATTACTTTTATTCTGCAATAAATTATAACAGCATGCATTATAATGAAATTACAAGTTTTCCTTACTTTTACTATTTTTACTTAACTTTCGTTTATCGCCATAGAATTAGCATAATCATATACCTAGATATACACAGGACATTTATTCATAAAAGATTTTTCTCCTCCTTTGTTCATTTTACTCTACTTTACTCTACTTATTCTTTATTTTCTTTGCGTAATTTGTTCGAGTGCATGCATATTATTACAGTTCGTAGTAAACATTGGCATTAAAAATATAGTCAGTTATCGGTTTACCTAACATTAAAAATAATAACGAAAAACAAACAAATGGAAAAATTGGAATCGCTTGGATAAGCCAAATCAAGTCCCGGGTATAGTTTGGAAAATATTGCCAGCAGAGCAATAATATATCAGTTTTATCAATACATTTGAAAGACTTCCCCTCAGAGGTGTGTAGAGTCAAGTCATGAAAGGCGTACCTTTACGCATATATTTGCCTATAAACATACGCGATATGCATATCAAATTTCTTTTATGGAATTGCTTAAGGAGCGAGAATGCCATCAATGAAGAGCGATCGGAGAAAGAATAATCAAAACTTTTAATTATATATATATATTCTTATGAATAATATAAAAACTTTAAAGGGGGGAGGGCAGTAGCATCTAAAAAAATCATAATTGTCGCACATCATTGATTATCACACAACCACTGAAGTGTTGGGTATCTAGAATTCGATCCACATCTATATTCTTGTTTTTTTTTTACCTTTTTCTCTTCCTTTGCTTCTTTGTGCGCTACTATTGCTGTTGTTGTAGTGTGGTAGCACTTTGCACGCACAATTGGAAATATGGAAATTGGCTTATTCCGGTGAATATAATAATGAACAATGTACAAACTCTACAATGTTGTCTACTACAACGACACCAACAGCAACAAGTATGTCACAAACGCAACAGCAGCAACAGCAGCAACAGCAGCAACAACAACAACAGTTATGGGTTTCTACACCTTCATATCAAATGGATACGGATGAGGATATTAAAGGTAACTAATTGCAATCAATTCGATATAAAAAAAACAAAAAAGAAAATAAATAAATTAACAACAAATTGCAGAAGATAATAGCTCTTTACCTAAGGAAAATAGTAGCAGCATCAGTGATGTGAACAACATATACGACGGTACAATTGAGGAAGCAAAGGGCGAGACTCTTTGCGCTGGTGGCAATGTTTTGAAACGCTCCAATGCACGCTCCGGTGGATCTCATATACATTTATGGCAGTTTCTAAAGGAACTATTAGCTGCGCCACATATAAACGGTACAGCCATACGTTGGATTGATCGCAGCAAAGGTATTTTTAAAATTGAGGATTCGGTGCGCGTTGCAAAGCTATGGGGTAAACGCAAAAATCGTCCTGCTATGAATTATGATAAACTGTCACGATCGATACGCCAGTATTACAAAAAGGGCATTATGAAAAAGACAGAACGATCCCAACGTTTAGTATATCAGTTTTGTCAACCGTATCATATGTAACTGCAACGATACTAGAAAAGTATAAAAATGTTAATTTTCAAATATTTTTATTAGCTTTAGTTTTGTATATATGCGTGCACTTATTTATTTATTTATTTATTTATTTATTTATTTATTTACTTATAATATAATTTATTTATTCATTTGTTAATTATTTATTAGACGTTTTATATTTATTGCCCTCAACTTACTTATTCATTTTTTCTTCATTTCTCTCGATTATTAGCAATATAATCATAAGTTATACCATATACCATTTTTATACCCTACATCACTTGTGGTACAGTGTATACTAAGTTAGTATGTGGATGGGCGTAATAACGGGAAGATCTTAGAATCCACTCTTTATTATGCCTATCCTATTTAAAGAGGTACTGAAAGTGGTGCAGATCGGTCCACTTTTTCGACCACTCACCATATATCGCCTTAAAAAATTTCACTTTTCGAAATTTTTTTCATTAAATTCGTTCTTCAATAGTATTTGGACAACCTAACTTGCTATGAAACATTTGGTTCAGGTGGGGCAATTTTTTGAACCCGCTTTCATATAACCATCCTTACGTGAACTGAATCTTTATAATCCAAAAACGTATAATTTTTAATATTTTATGGTGACAATTCACAATAGCATGTTGACGTGCAAATCCCGGTTACCAATTTGTAGGCGTACTTTTCTATGTCGAAAAGACATATTTGCCAATATTTCATTACTAAAATTTCTTCTTCTTCTAGTGGACTTGGACCGTACAGGTCTATTTTTTGACCCTAACACATACAGAGATTGTCATGAAAAGCAAGTCCAGGTTTTTATGATGGAAGATGAAGCAAAATTTTAAGGAAGTACTTTATAGTTTGCCAAATTTGGATCACGTCATGTTATATTATAGAACTTATATTTCAGCCTCTAATACTTCTTCCTGATTCAATGATCTATTGATTACCATTTGGTTGATTAAAAAAGAAAGAAAAAAGAAGGAAGGCTGAGGTATAAAAATATATTTGCTTAACTTAGAATTTTTTAAACTGTAATTCGACATCCGGCTTTGCGAAAGAATATCACTAAAGTTGATGCGATTTTAGATTTACATCTCCGAGCATTATTCATGAAACGATATAATTGATAAGCACCCGAGAGAGATATTCAACGAATATAAAAGTTGAACTAATGAACAACAATATTTTCGCTACTCGAAATATTCAAGTCGAACAAATATTAAACGTTAATAAAGACAGAAAGGTTAATTACCTGCCACGATAAGGCCATCGCTTACAACGATAATACACCTAGAAATACTACGGAAAAGCCTTAAACAATTCTAATTTGAATAACTGCTCTGGCGCGCAACTCAATCCGTTTGAATCCAGTTATCCAGCAACCGGGAGAGATCTAAGAGCAAAAGAAGCTATGGTTTCCAATTATTAATGGGCACATCAATCATAACGGGCTCCTAATCCTTTTATTTAAACGATGTAGTGTGAAGGACAAATTTTTATGAACATGGGCGAAGCTTTACAATATTTTAAACTCGAAATTACACGAAAAATATAACTATTTTCTCTAACTAAAAAAAAAAACACTGAAAACTGAAAAATTACTTGAGAAATTAGTCGAGCAACCAAACAAAGATCATAACTTTCGGAAAGAGATGAAAGATTGAGTGAAGTAATTAATTGAATCAAACAACGAAGAAAACGAAGTACATAAAAAATATCTTCAAAAAAAAAGTCGTAAAAGTGTTACAACACATAGAATTAATTAGCCAGAGGAATACCCGAGAAACCAAAGACCCGAAAAAAAGCAAATGCAGAAAATGCCAGAATAAAATCTTAATACATTTGTCAACATTAACACAACATGCTTTTACTTATCATAACAACAACTGCAGAAAAGAAGAATGAATGTCTGCTACAAGTCTATCACGATATTTAAGATCAATGGAGAAGTTCTTAAGCCCCTTATCCACATGTTAAGTATGATAATTGCGTGTGGAGAAAGAGACATTGACTACAGAAGATCAGGATTCACTTCTGCATTGCTATTAAGCAATGCATTGCTCCTCACATTGTTAACATTGACTTCTAGTAACTTAACTCAACATTATACACTGGTTACGCTTGTTAGCAATCTAGCTGATGACAAGCTAAGAACATAAAACTTGTGAAAAATAAGAACCATAATATGAACCATACGACAGCAAAGTATTCCTCGCTTTCGTAAACAACAAAGTGAACCATTTATTGGGAATGTTCTATTGGCAAGATTTTCAACCAAGTGAAGAGAAAGAGAGAACCAAGTGAAAACTTGAAACGTGATGGTTCCTTATTCGGTCATCGGTCATTTAGGTTTAAATTTACTTACAATTGAACATGACATCAATGTCTTCGACGGAAAACGTTGAAAATGTCCTAACTTCGTATGTTGTTTGTAATTATTTTATGCAAAATATCTTTTCATTATGCTGATCATTTTACATTGGATCACAGAAGATTTTCTGCACAGGAAGCGGTGTGAAAAGAACCAACGAAATTGAATGGGAATTTCTTCTCTATTTCCAAAGGCAAACCATCAGCTTTCGTTCATTTCTTTTTTTCGTCTTTTTTCACCAAATGTGTTTTCCGCCAATAGGAAAAAAGTACATCGATGCCATATTTTGTCGCGTAGTAATCAAAGGCTTTATGTCAGATTATAATCAAACCTATTGTAATCATTCAAATGCATTATCATATTAACAGCCTTAAAAGATATAAGTCTTTAAGTGTACTTACAGTGTTACACGTTTCCATGTAAAGAGGCTTGAAAAACATTTGTTGCCTTAAACTTCGTTGTAATCGTCTTAAAGCTGTAAACGATATTTTTATAAGCAAAACCTTAAGGTAAGGGATACTAAAAATCGTTAAATCGCTCACAATACCTGGGGATATATAACAGTTATTAAACCGTTAAGTTTAAACTTACTTAGAGGTAGTAGAGCAGAGTAGAGGTAGAGTAAATGAAAGATAGAACATGTGGATGTTGCAATGGTCCCCGTTACTCTAAGTTAAGATTCTTATGCTTTTAAATGCAAAAAGGACTAACTAGATAAGAAAGTTCTATTCACCTTAGGATAACTTCAAGGTCCTTAGAAGGCAAGAACGGAAATTACAAATTAATAATTTTTTGTCCAGATTATTTCGATTCCTTAGCGTTTTGTAAGCGCAGGCTCGCTTGAAATCATTAATGCATTTATTGTTTTTTACCTTGCGCTATACCATAAATTCCTACAATATAACAACAGAAGCAATTTAGTGCTTATTTAATAGTATTTACGCTACGCACTACACTTCACCTAATGCTATTTTTCATTGTTTTTCTAAATACGAAAAATGTTGCCTTCTCCCCAAGTAACAGCATATCTTTTGTTGGCGCTCTTGCGTAGAAAAATTAGGCTTTGTGTAGGGCGTGGATCGTAAAAATAAGCCCATACCATGCATTTCCAATAGAATTCGTTTCTAATTGAAAACAAAAAGGCGGGATCTTTAAATGGAACGAACACCAGCTTACTTGAACAGGCACCAGGCAGACAGACGGACTTTCTGTGTCCTGGAATCATCTGCATAAACTTCATTTCCTCTTAATACAGTTGATGTAGAGTAAGAAAAAAATGAGAACAACTCTTTTGCGTAATGATCATTATTAAATTTAGAGCATACGATAGAGTTACAATGTTTTGAATATAGGTGTCGGTTATTTATTGAGATTGGGTTTATTTATTATTTTATATATATTTATTTATTTATTTATTTATTCAGTAATTTAGATATTTAGTAATTTATTTATTTATATATTTATTTATTTATTTATTTATTTATTACCCTTAGCCAAAAACGCGCATATTAATCAACGTCTTTGTATTTATGAATGTTTAGACATTTAAGAAACAACGAAATTATTAATTTTCTCAGTGAAATCATTGCTTTGTGCCGAAAATATTTATTTCATATATAGTTTATTTATTTTTTTATAATTTATCGACATATGTAATTTATTTTACTATATAAGCGTTTTACACATTTATTTATTTATTTATTTATTTATTTATTTATTTATTTATGCATACAATTGATTATAAGTAAGATTTATTTATTTATTAGCATTAAAGTTGCTTTTTTCTTCATTTTGTTACCCTCTAATATTTATTCAAAAATTTATTTATTCCAATAATCAAATTAATCAAACGAAGCATTTTCTTTATTTCATAATTGATTGATTATTTCTATTGGAAAGTAATACATTGTGCAGTGAGTTAACTACGTGGAATCAATTTCCAGCAAACCATTGACGCATCGATATTCTCGTTAAACTTTCAAATTTTTTGCCTAAATTTCCCCATCTGATCCATCAACTGTTTTGAAATGTCAACTTTTCAGTTCTTTAATTTTGAAGCTTAATCGGAAGCGTTGAACTTTGTTTACGAATTCTTAACTTTATTACATTCGATGGCTATTAACGAATATCGGATGAAGTAGAAATATAAACGCCTAAAGTGAAAACGGACGGATGTTGAAAAAAAAAACTCCGTGAGATCTATGTGCAGACAAACGGGCTTGTAATTGAAGGCTTGAAAACCTGATGAAAAGATAACTAATGGGAAAAATTGATGCAAAAAATTAAATGTCAGCCAAGTGAAGGATATATTGAATAAAAGGATTTCAGTGTTTGTTGCCTATCGCTCTGCTTTGTTACAAGCGCAGTGACAAGTTTCATGTACTTGCATTCCTCGAAAGTGAGTGTAAAACGATAAATAAATAAATGTCATTTCTGATATTTCGAATTCATTAGAGAGGAGAGAGAAGAATAGAAGAAAAATAAAAGTGATAAGAACATCAAGAAAGTGACTCAGCGATTACGTATTAAATAAATGAATAGTTATGACAAGCGAACTCCATCTAAAACCCATTTTCCATTCTCTCCCCCCTTCCACCACTCTATCCATCCTAGTCGCACTTCTCCTTTCATTTTTATTGTTATTCGCCAGCATATTGTCGATTTGTGTATAAATAACTGAATATGATTCAACATCTCAATCAATGTGACAACAGAAACAGCTAG